AGCCCTCCCTTTGTTCCCTCTGAAGCGCCCAGAGCCTCCTTCTCAAGCCGCCCGCCCAGGCGAGCCCAGCAGGGGCAGGACGATGGGCGTTGTAGTCCCAGGGCGACCGGAAGGAAGGAAACGGGAGGGTGGGGGAGGAAGGGAAAAAAAGAAAAAAAAAAAAGACAGGGACGGGAGCTGAAGGGAAGGCGGACTCCCAGGCGCCGGGACTACAATTCCCATGAGCCTCGGGCGGCCGGAGGTAAGGCAGAAAGGAGGAGGAGGAGGAGGAGGAGAAAAGGACCCCCCCTCCCGGGCCTCACGGGAGGAGGAAGGCCTCCCCCCCTCCCTCCCCAGCCCGCCGCGGGGACGGCCGCTCGCTCCCCTCACCCTGAGCTCCTCGAAATCCGCCATTTTCTACCCGCCGCCTGGCTCGGCCTCCGCCGCCGGCACCGCCGCCGCCGCCGCCGCCGCCACCATCCTGCAGGGTCGCCCGCCGACGCGCTGACGTGAGGGGAGGGGCGGGGAACCGCCGTGGCCACGCCCACCCGACTGCGGAGGGCGCCGGCCGTTAAAAAGGGCGGGGTTTGGGGGGAGGGGAGGGAAGGCGCGCGCCTTCGCTCGCTCGCTCGATCGATCGATTTTTCCCGCCTTTTTCGAGCGATGCGCGCGCACGTGCGCGGGAAAAAAAAGGCTCGCTCGCTCGCTCGCTCGCTTCTCCCGGGCTCGCGCGCCTCGAATCGAATCGAATCGAATCAACCTTTATTGTCAAAGTAGAGCACGTGTACAATGAGATTGACTGAGCCTCCCTTCGTACACACACACACACACACCTGACACAACTCACAGTGACAGCTAGGGTTGCCAGGTCTGCTTCCCAAAAATAGCGGACAAGCGGGGGGGGGGGTGTTAAGTAGTAAAAAAAAGTAGACTACAGCTTTAGATTACGTACCATTTCATCATAAAGCTTTTGAATAAAAAAATGTCCACTATTTTGTGAAAAAAAATAGTGAACATAATGTGAAAAAAGTGGACTGTCCACTCAAATAGTGGACACCTGGCAACCCTAGCAAACACACCATCTTATTGCACCACGTGAACTTATTGCACGATGCGCGGGCCCCGCAAATCTATCATACATGGAGTTATTTCCCATTCAGGAGTCTTGACTGCCCATGGGTGGAAACTGGTCTTCAGCCTGTTGTTGGCAGCTGGCTACGCTTCTATATCTCCTGCCCAATGGTAGGAGAGTAAAGAAGGGCTGACCAGGGTGTGAGTCGTCCCTGAGGATTTTCCTCACTCTTCTGAGGCAGCGAGCTGTGGGAAGTCAGAGCCCCAGAGAAGGAAATATTAAAAGGGCAGAAAAATATATTTCCTCAAAAGTATTTTAAAAAGCAGAAACCAACTTTGTCCCCAAGTCCCTGCCCCCAAGCAAGAGCTAGCTCCATACAAATTCAGAAAGTTGAAGCCAGAGCAATCAAGAAGATGAAGAGAAAATCTGCATACCCCACCCAAACTCTAGGAGTCATTAGCCCCATCACCTGGGAAGCAGGATATGATAATAGGATTAAACCACAGATATCAAGGCCTAGAAAAGCACTCAGAAATAGCCTCAAGGTTCATGCCACAGGAACAGGAAACTATTCCAAACAGGGCTAGAGAGGGTATAAAAAACCTTCTACCCATGTGCTCACTCTCTTTCTTCTCCTCTGCTCCTTCTTGCAAGGACCATCTTTCTGCTTCAATAAACTGTAACCTTCTTCCCAAAGCATTCGCTAGGTTGCTTATTTATCCCCGGCTTGGATGAACCAGGATGAAGATTTTACTTCTATCAAAGCCCTAGCAATGTCTTTCTATCCGCGGCTGTCAAGCCAGCATACCGCACCTTAATGCAATGTGAGAGGACGATTTCTATAGTGGACTGGTAAAAGAAGGTCATCGGTCCTTGTTCCACTTTGTTCTTTGTTCCTCCGGCAGCGAAGCTGAGAAAAAACTCGCTTCTGCCAGTCCAGAATTTCAGGGAGTGAGTTGGATGGAGAGATCTGAGGGGAAACTCCCAGAATTCCTCAGCCAGCATGGGGGAACTATGGCCCCTTCATGACTTGCGGACTTGAACTCCCAGAATTCCTGAGCCAGCGTGAGGGAAACTTTGGCCCCTTCATGACTGGTGGACTTCAACTCCCAGAATTCCTGAGCCAGCGTGGGGGAAACTTTGGCCCCTTCATGACTGGAGGACTTCAACTCCCAGAATTCCTGAGCCAGCATGAGGGAAACTTTGGCCCCTTCATGACTGGTGGATTTCAACTCCCAGAATTCCTGAGCCAGCGTGGGGGAAACTTTGGCCCCTTCATGTCTTGTGGACTTCAACTCCCAGAATTCCTGGGCCAGCATGGCTCAGCTTGGAAACCTCTCCCTTTTCCCTCAGCATGGCTGGCTCAGGAATTCTGGGAGTTGAAGTCCACGAGTCATAAAACAGCCAAGGTTGCCTACCCCTGGTATAAACCTTGTGAACTCTCAAGCTTCCTCTTTCTGCTATGTATTCAAGATGGACAGGGATTAATATTTACATGTTATTTATACGTAAGGGTGTATGTTTATACATACATTGTAGATAGCGTGTTTATATGTGTGTTAGGTATGCGTACTCTTTTGAGAGCAGGCGACAGAATTTCATTTTTAATGCGGCCCAGTGTGCCCACAATAAAAAAATGTCAATATATAGGTTATCTTATCTTTTTAAAGAAAATTATTTCTATTTATCTTTTGTGAGATTGGCCTACCTGCCAAAAAGAAGATAAGATAACCTTTATTGTCATTTTTTTACTGTGGGCACAACGGCGCACATAAAAAATGAAATTTAGTTGCCCGCTCTCAAAAGTGAAAGAAGGCAGTTTTCCCATAGAATCAGGAGGTGTGTTATAAAAATGTAGTTCATCCTCGTCCTTTTTAATGGACAAAAAGGGGCACAGGCTATAACAATCCTGTTGACTTCAAAACAGGTTTAGAAAGGAAGTATTAACCAGTTTATATAGTTGTCCATCTGCTCAGGGAACTCTGATGAACATAAAATTCCAGGACAGGTGTAATATGTGCACCCAGTACAGGATATGCTGATCACACTAGAAGCTAATGTATTCTGGGCCAGCTGCAGATTGCACATTGTCTTCAAGGACAGCCTGATATAAAGGCCTTGCAGTAGTCCAAACAAGAAGTAATCATGAGTTGTGCCTCCCAATTTAGGAACAGACATAATTGGTACACAAGATATAACTTCTGTGATCCGACACCGACACCTTGTAATTTTCTGGAGGCCATTTAAAATCTCACTCTTGGGCCAGAGTGTGATAAGAATGTTAATTTCATCAGGGAAGTGTGGTAACACCAGGTTTTTCTGTTCTTGGTTTTACTGTTTATTATCAAATTTGTTTGCTGTGTCTTTTAGAACATTAATATACTATACCACACAGTTCTTGACTTAACAACCACAATTGGGGCCAAAATTTGCATTACTAAGCAAGGGAGTTAAGTGAATTGTGCCCAGTTTTACAAACTTTTTTTTTGCCAATGTNTCAAGAGAATTTGAAAGTAGGACAAAGGAGGCAAATGACTCTATAAGGCAGTGGTTCTCAACCTGTGGACTCCTCAGGTCCGCCGCAATGTCACGGGTCCGCGAAGGCTTGAAAAAATGTTGTGATTTAAATCTTGAGTAAAGTCTTGGTGATCCGTGGCCGTGGTCTGTGGCGACAACAGGTATTTAAAGGGGGTCTGTGGTGAAGAAAAGGTTGAAAACCACTGCTATAAGGAATTAAGGAGAATAAAATAATAAAAGTTAAGAAGATTCAGCCATCCATTCCTGCCTAGATAACTCTCTCTTTCCTTTGCTTTGTCACCAAAAGGCAGAGGAGGGGGTTTAAATACCTGCAGCCAGACATTCACCATGAAAATAATCCATGTCCACACTCATCCTAGCTATACTGTATATTCATGCATATATATTTTTTAAAAATTAAGTCTAATATTTATCTAACATGAACATGTTTCAAGATGTAGATCAGGGGTAGTCAACCTTGGCTCTTTTATGACTCGTGGACTTCAACTCCCAGAATTCCTGAGCCAGCTTAGCTGGCTCAGGAATTCTGGGAGTTGAAGTCCACGAGTCATAAAAGAGCCAAGGTTGACTACCCCTGATGTAGATCGTTAACTACAAGCTGGTATAAATGCAGAGGATAAAGTGGGTAAAGCAGGAAGAACAAATTGCAGAGCTGTTGATTCTTATAACGCAAGCTTTGAGAAATGAAGCTCAAAGAGAAATGGAACCATAAGATCTTTATCAACTTTGGTTTTACATGAAACAGCACATAGAGATAAGTGGACTGTTGAAAAAGAATTTGAATCCTGCAAAAGATCAAAAGGCTGAAGGACAGTAATGTGGTAAACAAAAGGCAGGGCTTTTCGTTTCCATTTTTGGGCGTATGCCAATCTTGCTGCGGTTAAAATATGCAATAGTAAGTAGAAAGATGCTTTGCTAAGTTTATCATTAATGATGCCTAATAAGAAGGTTTCCGGTTTTAAATCAATTTTTTGTAATAGCATTTCTTCCAACCACTTTTTTACCTGATGCCAAAAATTTTGCGCTTTTGAACAAACCCCCACTGAAGAAGAAATCTATATACCATAAAAATGTAAATGTTCGTTTGTTCAAAATCTTAAATCTCCGAAAGTTCTTCACCGATTGCTTTGAAATTTTGACACAACGTTGCATTCGAATACGGGCGTGTTTTTATATACCTATATTATATAGATGTCACACATGTGACAGGTAAAAACATGCTTTTTTTGAAAAACAGCGCCATCTGTTGGACATAAAAGCAACACATGCTTTTACCAGACTGAGCCACAGCAACGCGTGGCCGGGGACAGCTAGTAATAAATAAAATCTTATCCTGCGCCGAAATGGACAGGTTAACTCTAGAGATTAAAGATAAAACTGAAACGGAGTATTGTGAAATTTGGAAAAATTTGTACGATTGGTTAGAGATAAGGAGGATCGCTGAGATGATTATTGATTGATAAGTTGATAGCGTAAGGACTTCTTATTAGCACCTATATTAGGACACAACTGAAAGATATGTAAATACAACGTTTACGACTGAAAGACGTTTTACTAAAAAACTTATAGATGTTATATGTACAGTTTGTTATACTCTGTCCTGTTATAGAATGTATTTTAAGTTTCTGTTTTTCTTTCTGCAACATAAGGTAATACTAACAGCAGTGTTGTAGCCAGGGAAGTTGAATCATGTCCATTTCTGTTTTTAAATGCACATTTAATAAAATTTGGAAAAAGAAAAGAAAGGGCAGGGCTTCTCAACTGCTATTTTGCTTCTGTCTCCCCCAGGGGAAATTTCAAATAA